CGTGGACATATGTTTGCATCTGTCTTGGGATATAAGAGTAGAATTGCGGGGCCATAAGGTTACTCTATGTTTAACTGTTTGGGGAACTTCCAGACCCTTTTTCAGAGTCTCTGGAAGTTTCCATGTTCATCAGCAATTTATGAGGGCTCCAGCTGTTCCACATCCTCACAACTATTTGATATTGTCTCTTTTTTTTTGAGACAGTGTCTCACTCTGTCGCCAGGCTGTAGTGCAGTGGCTCTACCTCAGCTCACTGCAACCTCCGACTCCCTAGTTCAAGCCATTCTCCTGCCTCAGCCTCCCAAGTAGCTGGGTTTACAGGCACACACAACCACATTCAGCTGGTTTTTGTATTTTTTTTAGTAGAGACGGGGTTTCACCATGTTGGCTAGGATGGTCTCGATCTCCTGACCTTGTGATCACCTGCCTCAGCCTCCCACAGTGCTGGGATTACAGGCGTGAGCCCCCACACCAGCCTGTTACTGCCTTTTTGATGGTAGCCATCCCAGCAGGCATGAAGCGGCATCTCGCTGCAGTATTGATTTGCGGTTCCAAGGTGACTAGTGACATTGAACATCTTTTCCTGTGCCTCTTGGCTATTGATATATCTCCTTTGGAAGGAAACTCTTTTTTTAACCTGTGTTAAACTCCTTTTTGCCTGTTAAACAGTTAACCACCAACATTAAGAGAAGAGCTGAGCCCCTCCGTGACTGCTTTGGGGTGGGTGAGGGCCCTTCAGGAGGGAGCTGTGGCTTGAACAGATTTTCCCCTACACAAGGGGTTCATCGTTGTGCATTGCTTTAAAGGAATGCCTCAGGCTGGGTAACTTATTTTAAAAAGAGGCTTATTTGTCTCTCCGTTCTCCAGGCTGTACAAGTGCATTGCCAGCTCTGCTCCTAGTGAAGCCTCTGGAAGCTTAAAATCATGGAGGAAGAAAAAGGGAAGCTCATAGCCAGAGAAGGAGCTGCTGGGGGTGGGGGTGCCACACTCTTTTGAGATGGAGTTTTGCTCTTATCTCCCAGGCTGGATTCCAATGGCATGATCTTGGCTCACTGCAACCTCCGCTTCCTGGGTTCAAGCAATTCTCCTGCCTCAGCCTCCCAAGTAGCTGGGATTACAGGAATGCACCACCACACCCAGATACTTTTTGCATTTTTACTAGAGATGGGATTTCACCATGTTGGCCAGGCTGGTCTTGAACTCCCAACCTCAGGTGATCCACCCACCTCAGCCTCCCAAACTGTTGGGATTACAGGTGTGAGCCACCACGCCCAGCCACCACACTCTTTTAAACAAGGAGATCTTCCATGATCTCATACAACTCATTACCATGGGGTAGAACACCAAGCCATTTATCAGGGAGCTGCCCCCATGACCCAACACCTCCCACTAGGTCCTAACTCCAACACTGGGGGTCACATTTCAAGATGAGATTTGGAGAGGACAGATATCCAAACCATATCACATAAGGAGCAAGTAACTTGTCTGAACCAGATGGACTTTGGAACATCCAATATATGACTCTTAAGAGAGCTAAGCAAATATGTTTACTTGTTGCTTTATTTATAAGTAGAAGGCACATTTAGGGCCGGGTGCGGTGACTCACACCTGTAATCCCAGCACTTTGGGAGGCCAAGGTGGGCAGATCACAAGGTCAGGAGTTCAGCCTGGCCAACATAGTGAAACCCTGTCTCTACTAAAAACACAAAAATTAGCCGGGCATGGTGGTGGGTGCCTATAATCTCAGCTACTCAGGAGGCTGAGGCACAAGAATGGCTTGAACCCAGAAGGCGGAGTTTGCAGTAAGCTGAGATCATGCCACTGCACTCTAGCCTGGGTGACAGAGTGAGACTCTGTCTCAAAAAAAAAGAAGGCACATTTAGAATAAGATTTAAAGAACTCTAGGTGCCTGGGCACAGTAAGTTGAATGAGAAATACATTTCTCATTATAATAATTAGTCTTAGTCCAAATCTAGTCAATAACATGCCTTCCCACCTTACTCTTAGCTTCTCCAGTTTTTTATTTTGTTTTTTGTTTGGTTTGGTTTTGAGACCAAGTTTCACTCTTGTCGCCCAGGCTGGAGTGCAGTGGTGCGATCTTGGCTCACTGCAACCACCACCTCCGGGGTTCAAGCGATTCTCCTGCCTCAGCCTCCCGAATAGCTGGAATTACAGGTGCCTGCCACCATGCCTGGCTAATTTTTTGTATTTTTAGTAGAGACGGGGTTTCACCATGTTGGCCAGGCTGGTTACAAACTCTTGACCTCAGGTGATCCACCCGCCTCAGCATCCCAAAGTGCTGGGATTACAGATGTGAGCCACCACGCCCGGCCACTTCTCTGGTTTACTGCAGCTGTGCAAATGTATCTCCAGGATAAATGCCTAGAAGTGGAGTTGATGAGCCCAAGAATATGGTCATTGGTTGCACCAATTTATACTTCCATCAGTAACGTGTGAGTTTCTGTGCTTCTGTACCCCTTGACAACAGTGTGTGAGCAAACTTTCTGATCTTTGCTAATCAGAAAGGTAAAAATGATATTCAGTGTAGCTTTACCTCAGACTTGTCTTAAAAGCGAGCTTGACACCTTCTCATGTTTCAAAGCCATTTGATTTTCTGTGCTGTGACATGTCAGTATCTTTTCATCCACTTTTCTTATTAATTTGTAGGAGCTCTTGATACGTTACTAAAGCAGCTTTTTCTTGGTGATGAGTTGCAAATATGATAACCAGTTTGCCATTTATCATTTGCCTGTGTTATGGTTGGCTTTGCCATACAAAAACATTCTTTATTTATTATTTATTTTTTGAGACAGAGTTTCGCTCTTGTTGCCCAGGCTTGAGTGCAATGGAGATCTCGGCTCACTGCAACCTCCGCCTCGCAGGTTCAAGCGATTCTCCTGCCTCAGCCTCCCAAGTAGCTGGGACTACAGGCATGCGCCACCACGCCTGACTGATGTTTTGCATTTAGTAGATACGGGGTTTCACCATGTTGGTCAGGGTGGTCTCCAACTCCTGACCTGAAACTCAGCCTCCCAAAGTGCTGGGATTGCAGGTGTGAGCCACCGTGCCCAGCAAAAACATTATTTTTATTTAGTAAAATGTATCGGTCTTTTCTTTTTGAGTTTATGGGTTTGGTGTCATACTTAGAATGGCTTTTCCACTTCGTATATATATTTTTAAACTTTCCCATGGCCTCCTTTATGGTTTTGAAACTCTAAGCGGTGCTTCTTCTCACCTACGATTTATTTTAATTTTTGTGGTTACATATGGGGTATACACTTACGGGGTACACATTTATCGATGTTTCAATACAGGCATACAATGTGTGGTAATCACGTGCTGGAGAATAGGGCATCCATCCCCTCAAGCATTTATCCTTCGTGTTACAAACAATCCAATGATACTCTTTCAAACCCCTTTTAAAATACAATATGCAGAACCTAATGCTCTCACTTTGCTTATGCCTCTGAAACTTGGGAACGAAGGCCTTTGGGTTTTGTCTTTGTGCTCTTCTGCTAATTAGTTACCGCAAGGAGGCAGAGGGGCTGTCCACTTAGTGACCAGCGAGGTTAGCTGCTCCTGTGATGGGAGGCACCGAGCCTTCCCATTATTGCTGCCTGAATTTGATGTGAGGTTGTCGGTCATGGGGCCAGGTTCAAGGCAGAAATCATTGAAAGGTGTAATCAGAGGGCTCATCTTCCAGGAAAGACCGATTCAAACCACTTCATTGCTTACTCAGTGTGAGACCTTGAGCCAGTCATTTCACTTCTCTGACCCTCGGCATCTTTTATAAACTGGAGATAATAATTGCACCTACCACCAGGGCTATTGTGAGAATCAAGTAAGATAACGCAGCTAAAGCATTTAAAGCAGGGCCTGGCACACAGTCACTGCTCCACAAGGGAAGCTTTTCTTTCATGCCTGTAATCCCAGATATTTGGAGATGGAGGTTCGCTCTTGTTGCCCCCGCCTGGAGTGCAGTGGTGCAGGATTGGCTCACTGCAACCTCTGCCTCCCTGGTTCAAGTGATTCTCCTACCTCAGCCTCCTGAATATCTGGGATTACAGGCATGCATCACCATGCCCAGCTAATTTTTGATATTTTTAGTAGAGACGGGGTTTATCCATGTTGGTCAGGCTGGTCTCGAACTCCCAACCTCAAGTGATCTGCCCACCTCGGCCTCCCAAAGTGCTGGGATTACAGGCGTGAGCCACCACACCCCCAGCCAGGGGGAGCTTTTCTTAAGGTGACAGTCTTGAGCTAGGCCTTGAGGGAGGGGGATTTTGAAAAGAAGAGGGAGAGATCTTTATAGCTGGAGAACAATCCTGATTGTACCTGGGATTTAATTTATGGAGGTGACTGAGTGACAACACAGAAAGGTCAATATCACTGAAAGAAGTTTTAGGTCAGGCATGGTGGCTCATGCGCCTGTAATCCCGGCACTTTGGGAGGCTGAGGGCAGGAGTTCCAGACCAGCCTGGCCAACATGGTGAAACCCCATCTCTACTAAAAACACAAAAATTAGCTGGGCGTGGTGGCACATGCCTGTAGTTCCAGCTACTCGGGAAGCTGAGGCAGGAGAATGTCTTGAATCCGGGAGGTGGAGGTTGCAGTGAGCCGAGATCGCACCACTGCACTCCAGCCTGGGCAACAGAGCCAGACTCCCTCTCAAAAAAAAAAAAGCATTTTCCAGAGTGTTACAGGTTAAGTAATGGGACTGGGTTCTTTGGTCGCAGTTTCTGGCTAAGAGCCATCCCTGACCCCATCACTGCAGACAGGAGGATGGGGCCATTGAGTGGCCAGGCCTGGGTGCTTCTCTAGCCCTGAAGCTGGGCGGTGAGGACAGCCCCACTCAAAACACACACACTGAGGCACGGAGGTGGGGGTCAGGGGAAGCTCTTCATGGAAAATGGAGACGCCTTTGCCAAAAGTGGAGGGTGCGGGGTGTATGGTGAGCTAACCCCAAGTGACACCACAGCGGTCTTCTGGCTCTGTCCAGCTAGAAAATCTGGTCGTCCAGAGCTGGCAGGGACCGAGCTCTCAGGCCGAGGGTGCCATTTTGGGTCCCTAGGATTCAGGGAGCCTCCCGGACCTGGCTGACCCCGGTGTCCCCACCCGGCCAGGCCCGGGGGATGCTCCAGAACCGCGTGCTGCTATGGAAGGAGCAGTCAGAGGCCAGCCGCGGCCCGTCGCGCGCCCATTCCCCCGGCCTGCTGGGCCCTGCGCTGGGGCCACCGTACCCCTCGGGCCGCCTGACGCCCACCCGCCTGGACATGGTGAGGACCTGGGCGCCCCCGCCGCCGTTCGTGCCCCCGCCGCCGTTCGTGCCCCCGCCGCCGTTCGCGCCCCCGCCATCCCCCGTGAGGCCCTGGGGCCTCAGGCGCCCCGCCTGGAGCCTCCTGCCCCCCAGGCTCCCGCTTTACACCGCGCACCCCGGCCCACCCTTCCGCCCCGGCGCGTTCTCAGCGCCCCCGTGGTGGCCGGGCCTCCGCCCCGAGAACCCCTACACCGACGCCTGGGACTGGGGGTGGGGGCTGGACTAGGGCGCGGCCCCCGCCCCCCCCGCCCCACCCTCCCCTGCCCGTCTCCCCCGCAGCCCCCAAGGGCCCTGGGAGAGTTCAGCTCCCCCCGCAGCCGGCACAGCTCCGGCTCCTACGGCCCGGAGCCCGACGCGAGGCCCGCGTCCCAGCTGGAGCCAGACCGCAGGTCCCTGCCCCGCACGCCGTCTGCCTGTGAGTGCCCCCACCCTGGGGCGGCGGGAGGGCCGAAAGGGGCGCGGGGGTGGGGCTGCAGCAGGAGGCATGGAGGGCAGACGCGAGGGAGAACTTCCCACCCACGTGCCGCCGCGCTCTCCCACCTGCAGCCTCGCTCTACAGCAGCAGCACCCAGCGCTCGCGCTCCAACTCCTTTGGCGAGCGGCCGGGCGGCGGCGGGGGCGGCGGGGGCGCCAGGAGGGTCCGTGCCCTGGTCTCCCACTCTGAGGGCGCCAACCACACGCTGCTGCGCTTCTCCGCCGGGGACGTGGTGGAGGTGCTGGTGCCCGAGGCCCAGAACGGCTGGCTCTACGGCAAGCTGGAGGGCTCGTCCGCGTGAGTGGGGGCCTTGCAGGGGCGGCCGATGGGTTAGGAAGAAGGCCCTGGGGGCCGGGGACCCGGGGACCTGCTAGACTGAGGCTTCCCTGGCCTTCCCTGGAGGCCTCGGACAATGCTCCTCTCTTCCCACCCCCCAGGCCCTGCCTCAGTTTCCTCATTCATTCAGTGGGAGTAGGAAGAGCCGCCTTACCAAGTTCAGAATGGCGGCTTTTGAGAGGGGGCAGAGGATGGGGAATGGGCAGGTTCTTCCAAAAGTGTGGAAATGGCAGAAATCCTATTCCTTGAGCACTTACTATGTGCCCTCCTGCCTCCGCGAGGAGGCTGCTTCCCTCTGCAGCGTCAGCCCTGGAGCTCCCATGCAGGTGCCTGGGCTGGGAGAGGCGGCTGAAATGTGCTCACCTCTTTTCGGTCACGGTCACGCTCAGTGGAAATCCTTAAAGCACCTAAGCCGGGCTGTTTGTACACCCGGTGTGGAAGAGGAGTTGGGGAGTTTCATACAGTGAGGTCACCAGAAAGCCTGGAGGACAGCAGGGCCGGCAGCTAGCAGAGGGAATGGGCAGGCACCACTGTCTTGCAGGAGAAAATGGGGCAGAGGGGCTGGCTGGAGCCAGGCAGTGCCCCCTTGGGCCTTTATGGGCAGGGGAGTGTGCGGTGCCCCCTCCCACCCCGGCTGCAGGAGAGAGGACACGCAGGATGAATGTGTGCATGGCTGAGCGGGTGGTGGCTGCCTGAATCAGCCCATGGATGGATGGGTGGACCTGTGCGGAGTGGATGGTGGACGGGCAGATGGGTGGACCAGGGGAGGGGCGTGTGGGTAGGTGGTGGTCTGTGAGTGCATGTGGATGGGCATAAACAGGGGGGCACTGACTGAGTGGTTGGGATATGGGAGGATGCGTGGATGTGGGGCCTAGACACTGGTGGGTGACTGGAGAGGTGTGAGGGTCAGGGTGCTGGGTGGATTCATGGCTACACAGCGGATGGAATATAGACAGGTGAGTAGAGGATGGGCGATGGTTGGAGGGGCTCTTAGTTAAGCACGAAGGTCCATAGCAGGGCAGGTGACCACAGGGACAGGAACGGAAGGGAGTCAGTGGGAAGAGAGAACACCAACGACAAGGATGCCTGCTTCACAGACCCACGGCAAGGACAGTGTGCCAAAGATAGAACCTTCCAGACTGCAGCTGTCACACCCCCCTGGGATGTTCTGGGAAAGTCATTATCCATCCTGGGACTCACATAGCCTGCGAGGGAAAGTGATGGTGTGTTTTATCATCAGTAGGCACTCGCAGGGGAAACAGAATTAAACATACAGAATTGATTGTAGTCAGTCAATTCCAGGCGAAGTCGTTTCCAGGGACCCTGAGGGAAGAATGTTTTCTTTTGGTCATTGTCCCTGGGCCTGGCTTGAAGGACCCTCTCCCTCTGCCCCACAGGAGTGGCTGGTTCCCTGAGGCCTACGTGAAGGCTCTGGAGGAGGGCTCCATGAATCCCATGACCCCCATGACCTCCATGACCCCCATGACACCCATGATGCCCATGAAGCCCATGAACCCCGTGAAAGAGCTGCCTTCCAGGTACCTAAGTCATCAGGAGTGGGGCGGGGGCAAGGGCTCCGGTGACAGTGTCACTGCCCAGCTGGGAGGATCTAGAAGGTGCATTCTTGGTTCTGTTTTTGTTTTTGTTTGAGCAGTCTTGCTCTGTCGCCCAGGCTGGCGTGCTGTGGCGCAATCTCGGCTCACTTCAACCTCTACCTCCCAAGTTCAAGCCATTCTCCTGCCTCAGCATCCCAAGTAGCTGGGACTATAGGCGCACACCACCGCGCCCAGCCAATATTTTTATTAGAGACGAGGTTTCACCATGTTGGCCAGGCTGGTCTTGAACTCCTGACCTCAGATGATCCACCTGCCTCAGCCTCCCAAAGTGCTGAGATTACAGGCATGAGTCACCTTGCCCAGGTGGCAAGGTGCAGTCTTGAGCAGGCCCAGCCCCCTTCAGCCCCTGGAAAACCACCAGGCCAGAGCCCCACTCTCTGCACGGAAGGTCACTGTGTCCATCCCTCTGCCTGCTGTCAGTGCCTTCCTCCAGGCCACAGTCTCCTTTCACGCAGGTGCAGGGAGGAAGCTGTTGGATGCCTCCTCCCTAAGGTGCCCCAGCCACTGGCAGGACAAGGGATTGGCCAGGCCTGCCCCAACCCCTTTCCCTCCCTCCCCTCCTGTCTCTGGACTTAGATCCTACCCACTCCGGGGCAGCCACAGCCTCGATGACCTCCTGGACCGGCCAGGCAACTCCACAACACCCTCGGAGTACTGGGATGGTCAGTCCAGCTCCCGCACCCCAAGCCGGATGCTGAGCCATGCCCCCAGCCCTGCACATCCACCCTTGCCCAGCAGCCGCCGCAGCAGCATGGGCAGCACGGGGGTGGCCACTGACGTCAAGGTGAGCCATCGCCCACCCTCTCCCGGGGCCTTCAGCAGGCAGGGAGGCAGGAGAGCTGGAACCCCGAGGCTGTGTCACTGGGTGTCTGGTAGGGGACCCGTGCGCCTGGCCTCTGTCTGCTCCTCAGTGCAGGGAGGGGTGGCTCGGGGCTGAGTCTGGGCTGGAGGGGAAGACCAGGGTCCCAGGGCAGCGTGTGGGCTGGGGCTGGCTGGCAGGACGGGGCTGGGGGAGGCCAGGGAGAGCATCTCCTCATGGAGCCACCCCAGTCTTATTGTGGGGGCGCGGTTAATCCTCCACGTGGTGCTCTGGCCCAGGGGGTTCTCAGATCCGCAGCCCAAAGATTTCTGGGCTTCAGAACCTCGGGGTCTCATTTCCCAAGAGCCTGGCATGGCAGGGGCTCTCTGGCCCTGTCCTCTGCCCTATGGGCATGGGGATCGGGAAGGGAGGAGCATGGAATTGCTTGCCCTTTTCCCCACCAAGCCAGCCCTTCCCCACCCCCACTGCAGAAACTGATGTCCTCGGAGCAGTACCCCCCGCAGGAGCTCTTCCCAAGGTGAGTCCTCAAACAGGGGTCAGAACAGTGGCGGTGGGGGTGGCAGGTGTCCAGCACACACTTGTAATCCCAGCTACTAGGGAGACTGAGGCAGGAGGATCTTTTGACTCCAACAGTTCAAGACCAGCTTGGGCAACACAGTGAGACCCCATCTCTCAAAAACGAAAAAGAAAAAGATGAAATGGGGCAAGGCGTGGGTGGAGTCGGAATAGGGGCAGGAGGCAGGACCTGGCACAGCCAGATGGGGATCATCCGCCCCTCTCATCCCATCCTCTCCTCCAACAGGGGCACAAATCCTTTTGCCACCGTCAAGCTTCGCCCCACCATCACCAATGACCGCTCAGCGCCCCTCATCCGCTGAGGCGGGGTCCAAGGTCTTACCCCCCAGGACACCTGCCCCGGGACTGTTCGGAGCTGGCAGTGGCAGCAACGGCAGCAGCAGCAGTGACTACAAGAAATGGGGCGCTGAAACCAGAGGTGGCTGCCCTTCCCCAGAGCACCCCGGCAGCCCGAGCAGCTCAGAAGCACTGGCTTGGGGTCAGAGACCTTCAAAGTAAAGCAGGCGGAATGGGGGGATAGGACAATTTCTTTCCCTCCAGGGGCTCCAGGACTCTCCCTGGGGGACCTGCGTCTTGCCCCCCCAGCCTCTTTCCCCCTTTTTTGCCCCCATCGGGAGAGCCCCTTGTACCCTCTCCGTGCCCCACACATGCCCTCTCTGTACGTATGTCTTTTGTAAATGAAAAATAAAGGAAGAGGATGTGGCTGCAGGATTGGTGGTGTCTTATTTGGGGGACGGGGCAGGGGTAACGGATGGAGACTCCCCCATTGGAAAATGGGGTCCAGAGAGTAGTGAGGTTTCGGCTGTTCCCCGGGAGGCCATCTCACTCCCAGCCCCTCGTTTGGAAAACCCTTTAGGGTGGCCTCAAAGCCCTCGAGCTCCAGCCCCATCTCCACCGCTCATGTCTACATGTGGGTTTCCTAGGAAGTAGTGGCTGCTCGGGTCAAGGGAGGGGTGGCAGGGGCCGAGGGCTGGGACCACCAGCAAGCTGCCCTCAGGCGGCCTGGACACAGCACCCTTTGTTCTGCCCCCTCCCCCCCAACATTCCCAGGCACAGGCGTGGATTAGCTTCATCCTGGAGAAAGCTGCCGGCCCCTCCTGGAATGTGGCCTGCAGGGGTGGGGGCAGATGAGGCACTGAGGTGATTAGAACTGCTTGGGTCTCTCCAGGACAGGGCTGTGCCCCCAGCACCAGGCTAGGACTCCCTGGGCAGGGTCTCTGTGTCCCCCATCCCAGGCTCCAGGAGGCGGAGGGGCTCTCTTCTTGCCTCCTGGACTGGCTGGGGACAGAGATCCCACCGCAGAGGCCCCAGCCTGGCCTGGGGCTCCCAGTCTCTTCTCCCCTCCTGGACAAAAGCCTCTTAGCAGGGGTAGGGGTGGAGGGGGCACACACGCTAAGCCCCAGGCCTAGGGGAGGGAGCGTCAGGTGGGAGTCAGCCAGAGGCTCAGCCCAGGCTGGTGGGAAGCTGGGGCGTCTGCAGCCCTCATCCGGGTAAGCTTCACAGGGAGCCTCGACGGTGGCCCCTCCCTGCAGGCCTCAGGAGATGTGAGGCTGGACCTCCCCCAAACCCACAAGGCAGGCTCAGGTGAGTGTGGGGTGAGGGCTGCCTGGGATGACCCTCCTGTCTCCACCTTCAAGTGGCTGCCCCTTTGACAAGAGGACAACAGGCAGGAAAAGCCACAAGTAGGTCCTAGTGAAGGAGGGGCAGAGTTCCGGATACCCTAGGCGTGGGTGGCACTGCTCAGTGCCAGGAGGGACACTCCAGGCAGGAGGGGAGGAGGCTATCGCCAGCCCCAGGCTCCTGGTGCACCTGTCTCTGAGTCCACCCTCCTCATCTGTTATGGGGGCGCTTGTAGCCACTGCGAGAGTCCTGGGTGCAGCCCCAGGAATGAGACAGGCTTTGGAGCTATTCTCTGTACACGGAGGGGCTGAGGTTTGGAGGACAGGCCTCTCTCTCAGTGCTCCTAAGGGCCGCACCTGTCTGGCAGAAGCCAGAGACTTGACCCCTCTCCCCCAAGATTCCCAGCTGGCCTGGGGGTGATCAATCACCCATCTTACATCTGAGGAAACAGGTTCGGAGAGGGGAGGGGATGGGCCCAAGTCAGGAGTGAATCCATGGCTGAGCTGGGAGGCATGGGAACTCAGCTCCCCCGGCTGATATCTGCTGAAGGTGGCTTTTGTTCCCTTAGTGTTCTAATGACAATAGTCATTTCTGATCACGGAGAAACAGGAACATGATGCAAGGCTAAAGAGGAAACACTCCACGCACACGGGCCCTTTCCAGAGGCACCTGGCCCTCTGTGTTTCTTCCGTTATACCGGAGACCCTCCGGCATACGGGGCGACTTTGGCGCTGGACGCCCACCTCCAGGCGCACACCTGCAGCCCGAATCTCCGCTTCCCCACGCCTTCCACCTGAGGTCCCGAGGGGCCAGCAGTGTTCTCCAGAGGGAGCCTGTCCGAGCTGCAGAGTCAGGTGGGACCAGTCGTCCTCCCGTTGTCCTTCAGCGTCCTTTGCAGGAGAAGGAAACTTGGGGTGAGAATCCTACCTTCGTTTCCCCTTTTGGTTCCGTGACCTGAGCCACGCTCACGTGGGTAGCCCTGTGCCTCAGTTTCCCCATATACGTCTCCATCCGCCTCCTTCTCTGGGCTTCCGGCCCAGCCACTCCCTCTTGTCCCCGCCCCCTCCCAACAGAGGCAGAGATGGGCGCTGGCGGCCCCCAGCGGGGCGAGGGCCCTCCAGACGGCGGCTGGGGCTGGGTGGTGCTGGGTGCCTGCTTCGTGGTCACTGGCTTCGCCTACGGCTTCCCTAAAGCCGTCAGCGTCTTCTTCCGCGCGCTCATGCGCGACTTCGGCGCCGGCTACAGCGACACGGCCTGGGTGTCCTCCATCATGCTGGCCATGCTCTATGGCACGGGTCAGTGTCCCCGCCCGGCCCTCCGCCTCCCCGGGGCCCCTGGGATCCGGAACCAGGAGACACCCGACCCCCTGAGCATCCCCTTGACCCTCGGGGCGGCCTTGGAAATCCCCCTCCTTCCTGTGGAAACCCTGGCATCAGAAAGAGGGGAAGGGAGGGCGGTAGGGGATCAGCGGCCAGAGGCGGGACCAGCCCTGGGGGCTGCCCTGAGAGCTCAGAGGGCCCCTTCTGAGACCTACACCCGCCCATTGTAGAGGTGGGGAAACTGAGGTCTACAGAAACACCCGTCCTCCCCGCAGCCCTGACCACCTGTAGGTGGGGGCTTGCTGGAGTTCCCATCCTGGGAGGCGGGGCTGAGGCGGAATCCCAGGCTGTGCCTGGGCGAGACTTGGAGGCTGTGAAGGTTAAAGGGGTGTGGAAGCCACCCCTCTGCTTGGAGTCTGGGTTCTCAGGAGGGGTGGGGATGGAGTGTTCTGGCCAGGACACTTCCTTGCCCTCGCAGGGTGCTGTCCCTTTGGCCTGTCCCCTCCAAGCTGTGTGACCTTGGCCAGACAATTCCCTCCTCTCTGGATTCCTGAGCCAGAGGTGACCTTATTTCTTAGCGGACTCAAGCCATCCCAGGGCTCGGGTGGTGACCCTGCCCTGCCCACAGGCCCCGTGTCCAGCATCCTCGTGACCCGCTTTGGCTGTCGCCCGGTGATGCTAGTGGGTGGGCTGCTGGCTTCTGCCGGCATGATCCTAGCTTCCTTCGCCACGCGCCTCCTGGAGCTCTACCTGACCGCTGGGGTGCTCACAGGTGAGGGCCCCCTGGTCTTCCCCCCGCGGGGTTGGGGGTCGGGGGTGCTTGCTGCAAGATCTGTCCTCGGTTGCCCCACGAGGGACGGTCTTCGAAGTCCCTCGGCTGGGTTCCCGGGTCTACTGGATTTCCGGTCTCCCGGGCTCCCGGGCTCCCGGGCTCCCGGGTCTGCCCGCCCCGTCGTGGCCTGGCCCCTCCCTCCTGCGGGTGCCGGGGAGGGGCTCCCCGGGGACCCCGGCACAGCGCCGCCTTGCCCGCAGGCCTGGGCCTGGCCCTCAACTTCCAGCCGTCACTCATCATGCTGGGGTTGTACTTCGAGCGGCGGCGGCCCCTGGCCAACGGGCTGGCGGCGGCGGGCAGCCCCGTGTTCCTGTCCGCCCTGTCGCCGCTCGGCCAGCAGCTGCTGGAGCGCTTTGGCTGGCGCGGCGGCTTCCTGCTGCTCGGCGGGCTCCTGCTGCACTGCTGCGCCTGCGGGGCTGTCATGAGGCCGCCCGGGCCGGGCCCGCGACCGCGCAGGGACAGTGCCGGTGACTGCGCGGGGGATGCTCCGGGCGAGGCGGAGGCGGACGGCGCGGGGCTGCAGCTGCGCGAGGCGCCCCCCAGGGCCCGGCCCCGCCGGCGCCTGCTGGACTTGGCTGTGTGCACCGACCGCGCCTTCGCCGTGTACGCCGTCACCAAGTTCCTGATGGCGCTCGGGCTGTTCGTCCCCGCCATCCTGCTGGTGAACTACGCCAAGGACGCGGGCGTGCCCGACACCGACGCCGCCTTCCTGCTGTCCATCGTGGGCTTCGTGGACATCGTAGCGCGGCCGGCGTGCGGCGCCCTGGCGGGCCTGGCGCGTCTGCGACCGCACGTCCCATATCTCTTCAGCCTGGCCCTGCTGGCCAACGGGCTCACGGACCTGAGCAGCGCGCGCGCGCGCTCCTACGGCGCCCTCGTCGCCTTCTGCGTCGCCTTCGGCCTCTCCTACGGCATGGTGGGCGCGCTGCAGTTCGAGGTGCTCATGGCGGCTGTGGGTGCGCCCCGCTTCCCCAGTGCGCTGGGCCTGGTGTTGCTCCTGGAGGCCGTGGCGGTGCTCATCGGACCGCCCTCTGCCGGTGCGCCCCGAAGGAAGAGGGGTGGCGAAGCCTAGTGCCCCTTAGACGGAAGGAAGCTTCCTCCCTGTCTGAGATGGAACTTTCAGGGATGAGGGGAAGGGGCAGCCGGTGGGCGGACTCCTTGGCCAGTTAGTTCCTCCTCCACGCCAGACCGCCTGCTCTGGGTGAGGTCAGAAAAGCAAAGGAAGGTGCAGGGAAGAAAGCAACACTGCCACTGGCCGGGTCCGCCATCCCAAGCAGTTGGCATAAGGCCGTCTGAAGTGCAGGTGCTTAATCTCATGTTGCAGATGAGGAAACTGAGGCACAGAGGCTTAGCATAAGTTGCAGTCCCAGAATGAGAGCCTCAGTGTGCCTGGTGCTAAATGCCCATGCTTTTAGAACCCTGCGTCTGGGTGCTTTAGTTTCCCCAGCCTCCAAGGGTGACTCAAATGGGGACAATATCTTTGGGAAACCCCAGAGTGGGGGTGCTCAGCGGGCAGATGGGAAGAAGGAGAGGTGCTGGTGTCTTTCACTGTGCAGACGGTCTGCTGGCATGTCACTGTCACCCTTACAAAGTCATCATTATGAGGGTGGTCAGGGAGGGCTTCCTGGAAGATCCCCCAGGTAAAGGCACAGCATGGACAGGCAGGGTTTGTTTGGGGAACAGTGTCTTTATGCAAGCAAGTCAGGAACCAAAGTTGGAAAGGTGTGAGTGGGGGACATGAGGGTCTTCCTGGGTTGTCAGGTTATCTGGAAACAGCAGGAAGCCTGCCCTT